AGATATTGGTACTTGAGCAGATATTTGATTAGTTCTTGGTACTTGAGCAGATATTTGATTAGTTCTTGGTACTTGAGGGGATAATTGACTAGATCCCGGTACTTAAGGGGGAAATTGATTAGCTCTCGGTATTTGGTGGGATAATTGATTACATTTCCAATTATTTAGGAACATTAACTAATAACAATGTTCTCCAAAACATTTTAATCAGATTTGATAATGTTTTTCTTCAGGAAACAAAATGGCTGTTTCTTCAGCATTAGCACTCGTTACTTTCTGAAAATAACACAATAATAACGTTTCGGATTCTAATAATAAGGTATATTATTACTATATGGTAGATTTAGTAATGTTTAATCGAACATGGAGCAGAAAAAAGAAACAGATTATTCAAGTTGATGGATCTAACAAAAATCAGAATGTAATTATTCGTAGATTATAAGTACTAAACCGATTAACGATAGGAAATAAAATTATGTAACTTACCAGATCCATTAATTCAGTTAACAAGATTATTATTGACTTCATTATACAACTAATTTCTATTAATTGCTTTCTCCAGCTTTTTGCGTCATGGAAACAATGTGTTTTAACTCGAAAAATCAATTAGATATTAGATATATAATGATGGAACTAATTTTATATAATTTACATCTAACTTACTGAAATAAATGACACAGTCAGATATCGACTTGGTATAGCAATATTCAAGACTGTAACTTCCCATTCGGTACGTTACTATAGAGAAAGTTAAATATGTTGTGATTAACAATTCTACCTCCACGTCCCAAAACAGGTTAAAACATCTCATTTCTCTTTTATAACAAACGGTGTTTTGGAAACGTCCCTGCAGTAACATTTTATTGAGAATATAAGCAGTTTATAGAGTAGACAGCCAAAGGGTTACTAGGATGTGTTTTAGAAAAGTGCTTACTAAGTATAAAAAAAATCTGTGTATCTGTTTGAAGTTATTTCACTTTTTTTTTCACTTCGTGACTCAACTCCAGATGTTTTCTAAAGATATAGAGACATGTAACTCATCTCCAAAAAAAAAAGATATAGAAGCATGTAACTCACCTCCAGACAAAGATATAGAAACATGTAGCTCACCTCCAAAGATATAGAAACATGTAACTCACCTCCAAAGATATAGAAACATGTAGCTCATCTCCAGACAAAGATACAGAAACATGTAGCTTATCTCCAGACAAAGACAGACAAACATCCCCCTCATCTTCAGACAAAGACATACAAACATGTAGCTCATCTCCAGATAAAGATAAAGAAACATGTAACTCACCTCCAGATAAAGATATAGAAACATGTAACTCACCTACATACAAATATATAGAAACATGAAGCTCATCTCCAGACAATGACATAGATACATTCACCTCATCTCCAGACAAAGACATAGAAACATCTCCAGATGAAGGTATAGAAACATGTAGCTCATGTCCAGACAAAGATATGGAAACATGTAGGTCATCTCCAGACAAAGATATAGAAACGTGTAGCTCATCTCCAGGAAAGATATAAAAACATGTAGCTCACCTCTAGATAAAGATATAGAAATATGTAACTCACTTCCAGACAAAGATATAGAAACATGTAGAGCATCTCCAGACAAAGATATAGAAACATGTAGCTCATCTCCAGACAAAGATATAGAAACATGTAGGTTATCTCAAGACAAAGATATAGAAACATGTAGCTCATCTCTAGAGAAAGATATAGAAACATCAACGTCATCTCAAGATAAAGATAGAGAAACATGTAGCTCATCTCCAGACAGTGACTTAGAAACATCCACCTCATCTCCAGACAAAGATATAGAAACATGTAGCTTATCTCCAGACAAAGACATAGAAACATCCACCTCATCTCCAGACAACGATATAGAAACATCCACCTCATCTCAAACAAAGATATAGAAACATGTAGCTCATCTCTAGACAAAGATATAGAAACATGTAACTCATCTCGAGACAATGACATAGAAACATGTAACCCATTTCCAGATAATGACATAGAAAAAGCCACCTCATCTCCACACAGATATATAAACATATAACTCATCTCCAGACAATGACATAGTAACATTCACCTCCTCTCCAGACAAAGATGTAGAAACATGTAGCTCATCTCTAGACATATATATAGAAACATATAACTCATCTCCAGACAATGACATAGTAACATCCACCTCCTCTCCAGACAAAGATGTAGAAACATGTCGTTCATCTCTAGACATATATATAGAAACATGTAACTCATCTCCAGACAATGACATAGAAACATCCACCTCATCTCAAGACGTTGTATTAATGTAGTATACTTTACTATTTTCGTCAAAATAATTTGTCGCCTGAAAGCATTTTAGCAGTTGCTATAAAAAAGTTTTGTCAATGGTCCTAAAAGTGAACCTGTATCTCTTTATCAAGAACGTTTATTGACATATTACATTCAGTAAAATTATTTCCAATTTCGGTTTTTAAATTTTTCAAATAATGTTGGACATGCTATTGGCTGAGAAGTTTAATTCTAGGTTCACTTTGCGAATACAATGCGAGTAAGAAGCAGTGAAATAAAGCTAGTTAAGATAGAGGTCGTGGGTAACCTATGTTTCCTCCCTAAGCATGTATTATAGGAGAGAAAATTAAATGCGTTAGTGTGCTAATTGTTTCCTGTTTCGTTTAATTATTTGCTTTCACAGAATATCAGCCAATAAAAATCAAACACACATATATATTCATCCCTGGCAAGGGAGCGTGAAATGTACTTAATAATATACAGTCAAAGAGGAAGAAGATGAGAAATATTCAAGTAAAAGCACTTTTACGATCTAATGTATGTACATCATGAAGTCCTTAAATGATATTAGATAACTAGCTACGTCTATTCACTACAAAGATTTATAGAACTATGAAAATACTAACTATGTTAATTTGAATTCGATGATTTGAAACAAGTATTACTCAAGGAGACACTCCCACCTTTGGACAAGTACTAAACCACTACCGAATCTATTTTCTTTAGCCAACATCGTCACCAGGGGGAGACCTAGTAGTTTGGTAGTTCCTTTCTCACACCTATTCCTTAAAACGAACATTTCTTGCCAAATAATCCATTATAAGTCGAAACGTAAAACTTTGGTATGAAAATAAAGTTGTCTGTATTACTTATAACAATGTAAAGACTGTACCTGGCACGTGGAAATTACTACATTTAATAGTCGCAAATAACTTATAGAACTAACAATTTATTTTGATTTCATTTAGATTTAGGCTTCAGTGCCTAACTAATAGGAACTCAAACCTATTAAGCTTCAAACCTTTCCATTAACGAGGGAAGGAAACTAACTGTGTTCAATACACTATTGTTGTAAAACAAAAACCCTGATCGGTTCTCAGACAAAAACAGAAATAGAATAATTATGTTAGAATTTACAGTGAAGTCTTGGTGTTCTAATAGATAACTGAGAAACTAAAGTAATTTGTACAGATTTCTAAAGTTTAGTGAAATAATAGTTGGTTAACAAATGAAAGATTAACATTTTAACGACTAACTTAAAAACAAAACACAATTTATATTTCAAACAATTAACTTTATAAATGAAATGTTAATTCCTACGTGAATACGAAAGGAAGCATCATAAGAACATATGAAAAACAGTTCTGTTTCACAAAGTATTACTGACAAATAAACAACTACAGCTGTTAAGATTTATTTCTGTGCTTATTGAACCCGTTAATGTTTTCCTTTTTACGACGTGTTGTTCTTCGAAAACAAAAAAAGTTGTAATAGTTTCACTTGGAATATAAGAATATAAAGAAATGAAAAACTATATATAAGTTAATAAGTGTGTTACATGTGAAGACTTAAACCTGTCATAAACCAAAAATAAAACTGTATACTATATAAGTTAATAAGTATGTTACATGTGAAGACTTAAACCTGTCATAAACCAAAGAAAAAACTGTATACTATATAAGTTAATAAGTATGTTACATGTGAAGACTTAAACCTGTCATAAACCAAAGAAAAACTGTATACAAGTTAATAAGTGTGTTACATGTGAAGACTTAAACCTGTCATAAACCAAAGAAAAAACTGTATACTATATAAGTTAATAAGTGTGTTACATGTGAGGACTTAAACCTGTCATAAACCAAAGATAAAACTGTATACTATATAAGTTAATAAGTGTGTTAAATGTGAGGACTTAAACCTGTCATAAACCAAAGATAAAACTGTATACTATGTAAGTTAATAAGTCCCTTATATAGTATACAGTTTTATCTTTGGTTTATGACAGGTTTAAGTCTTCACATGTAACATTAATAAGTGTGTTACATGTGAAGACTTAAACCTGTCATAAACCAAAGAAAAAACTGTATACTATATAAGTTAATAAGTATGTTACATGTGAAGACTTAAACCTGTCATAAACCAAAGACAAGTTAATAAGTGTGTTACATGTGAAGACTTAAACCTGTCATAAACCAAAGAAAAACTTATACTATAGAAGTTAGTAAGTGTGTTACATGTGAAGACTTAAACCTGTCAAAAACTAAAGAAAACTTATACTATAGAAGTTAGTAAGTGTGTTACATGTGAAGACTTAAACCTGTCAAAAACCAAAGAAAAAACTGTATACTATGTAAGTTAATAAGTCTGTTAAATGTGAAGACTTACACCTGTCATATACCTTGCTGGATTATTGTCTATAACTACAACTTATGTTGAAATGAAAGATGGGAATAAAACATGGGAACAAGTACAAATTAATTAACTACGAAATGTTAAACATGGGAAAAGTAATGAAGCTATTTCGGTTAATTTCGTTCCTATCAAAGCTGTATAATTCAATTTCCACATCACCAGCAGCGTCCTCTAACGTCGAATCGATAAAGTATCCAAATTATGACACAAAAAATTATCTATGAAATATTTTCTAA